CACATAGGAATACTACGCTGCATTAAAAAACAAGGAACTCATGCAATATTATTCAAAATGGGTGAGCCTGGAGGACATTATGCTGAGTGAAATATCTCAGTCACAAAAGGACAAATACTGCATAATGCCATTGTTGTAAGACTGAAATAGGGGTTGGGGGGAAATTAAGAGGGGATAAATAATGTATACTGCATTGAAACAGATGAGGGGGAGAGTACTGTTTAGAAGAAATATATGATTAGGTGGTATTGTCATGAGAATGAGTCCAGAATGAAATCTGCTAGTGGAGTGGACTGGGATCAGGGGACTGTATAACAATGAAAGTTGGGGGTTTTTTTGGTGGTTGTTTTTTTTTTTTACTTTTCAAAGAGAAGAGTGAACTGGGGGAAGGGGTGGGCAGACAGGAAAGTGTACAACAATGAATGAGTGGAAATCCAAAGTGTCTGTAAACTTTCATTAAAATAAGAAGAAAAAAAGAAATATTCAGGCAGAAAACAAAACAAAACCCAACCAAACAACAACAACAAACCTCGTTTTAGACATCACCTGCTCAGTATGTGTTACATGAACTTTTAGTATGAAAAGGGATGAGGCCCTGGGGCACATTTACCAGCCCCTCTACCAGCAAGGGTGTCCTCGAGGACAAACCATTTTTCTGGAAATTTGGCATTATCGCTTCAAGCACCAACGTATGTTTTTGTTTTGCTTTCCTTCTTCTGGATCTGGTAAAACTCTCTGAAAACCACAGTTTACTTCCTGGCCCTGAAGAGCAGATGGATAATTTAATCTTAATAATTCAAAGCCTCAGTATAATAATCGGAAACTCACTTTTCTTGTAGTGCAGGGCTTCTGAGGTCCAAAGGCCTCTCCTCCCAGTCTGAGTGCTGACTCTGAAGTATCTTCTCTCACTGTCAGTTGATTGGTACTGGGCTAGACCCTTCTAGCTGGCTTTTCCTTGAGCCCCCATTTTCCCCTCTCACTCTTGTTAATTTGAGGATTCCGTTCCACCGCAAGCTGGGGAAATTAGAGAGCCAGAACTGTGGGTAGCAAGCAATAACTGTCGTTGAAAAGTGGGCCTTTGAAGAAAGTGTATGAGCTTTAGTGTTGACTGCCCCATCCACTTGACTTGCCTGGACCTCGTCTTAGGTCCTGGGCTGGTCTTCTGGTTGAGATGGTCTTGAATAAAATATGTTTATTCTTATTAGCTCTTATTGTGTTAACATGCAACCCTAAAGGTCCTGGCTTAAGATGGTAGCAATCGTGATTTTGCTCCAAAGCTGCAGTTTAGACAAGGTTTACCAGTGAAGGCTACACACTATCATCCGGGAAGGCAGGACAGGGGAGACTAGAGGATCTGGTTCTGAGATGGTGAGTACATGCTAGCTGTTGGCTAGGAGCTCGGCTGGGTCTTAGGACAGGAGGCCAGTGTTCTTCGTTTGACTGTGTTCCAAGGGCAAGTGTCCCTTGGAGGGAGCCCATAGACATTGTATTACTTTTATGACCTTGTTTCAGAAACATCATAGTATCTCTGTTACTAAAATTGACCAAAAAAGACTACCAGAATTGAAGGGGAGCGCAGAGATGCCCTACCTCCCGACAGAGGAGTAAATTCCCGGGAGAGCATGTGGGGTGGGAAATCTGTGCAACAAATAGGAGGTGAAACCCCGTCTCCATACTTCTTTTATTACTTTTCATGCTTTCCTAGGTACATGAGGAGAGATCTTTTTTACCAGTTTTATTTGACTGATTTTGTGATTTGAGTGAACAAAGACTTCCCATGGTCCCCACCCCGCCCCATCCCTATCTGTTATCTAGCCTTCTTTTTCTTTTTTTTAAGAAAATGTTTAGGATTAACCTGACTCCGAAAGCCAGAACTGTAGAAAGAAATTGTCAGCAGAGTTTCATCTCCCTGCCCCACTCCTCCTGTCTGTCCCATTTCACCTGGCCCTGTGGGAGGCACACCTGCTGAGATTTTTGTCTATCCTTTTTAATCAGTTTGATAAATGACAGATAAAATATGGTCTGCCCAGACAATTAAATACTGTTTGGCAAGAAAAAAAAAGAATGTGGTGCATGCTACAACATGATTAAACCTGGAAAACATTGAGACTGTACATTGCATTATCTCATTTCTGTGAGCGGTTCAGAGACACAGAGAGTAGGTTAGCAGTTGCCCAGAGCTGGAGGTGTGGAGGGGAACGCTGTGGAAGAATAAGGAATGCTTGCTAGTTGATAGGGGTTTTCTTTTTGGAGCCCAAAAAATTTTATAAAATTGTAGTGACAGCTATACAACCCTGTGAATATACTGAAAATTATTAAGTTGTAATTTTAAAAGGATGGATTATATGGTGAGTGAATTAAGTATATATTCAACAAATGACATATACACATATATAGAGACACACACCATGTTAGGTCCAGTATTATTTGGGTTTCTAGTTGACTTGTGGACATTTCCTGCAATAATTATGTATTGCTTTTATAGTTGGGAGAAAGCAAATACAGACAAAGGGCCCCATTGTACCAAGCAGCCCTTTTTGAAGCTTGGAGCACTAGAGTTTGTGGCCACATCTTAGGAATGAGACAGTAACCTCTCTTTTTAACAAAGGTTAGGGTTGGTCACTACCACCGATAGCAGGAAATGTCACACCACCAAATGAAGTCAGCCCACCCTGCTTTGCCTTGTGCTGCTTCAACAGAATGGCCTGGCTTCATCTTCCCATTGAATTCACCAGACTTTTTGTGGAGGACACAGTCTTGGAAGTTACCATTTCTAAATGTATGTCTGTGGTTGAAATAGTGAAATTATTAATACTCTTATTTCTTTCTGTACAAATGTCCTTATCAGAAGATGCTTGCACGCTTATCCCTTATACTCTTGCTTTTAACACAGTGATGACCTGCATTGCAAATGAGTTCTTGGAGCAGCCTCTCTTTTTAAGTTCAGGAAGCTTCTGTGATGCATTATGTTTTGCTGCCCTTGGATTTTTCTTTGTTCCCAATGAGCCTGTGGAAAAAAAGGAACTATTGAAAAAAGAAAATGCAAAGCAAACAACCTGCTTGTCAGTTATTTCAGAAATCTATCACATGATATGTATTGGCTTAGAGATAAATTATGAAATAGCCTTTGTTTCTTGGTATTTGGAGCTAACCCTGTTTCCTGTGACTAAGAAGGGCTGTGAAGAAAGGTTAATAGAGGGTAATAGACTCCCCTACTTGAGAAGGGAAGGATTAAGCTGATCTCTTACGTAGCCTACAAATCTGAATAGACAAGCAGTGCCTTGGGGCAGCAACTTGACACTGAGTGTCCAGGAAGACTTTATCCTTAGATGAATGTTTACTCAGAAATCTATTTAGGTAATCTGATGTGACTCAAAGACAGTAGGTAACCTCAGAGTAGCCAGATAGATAGCCCTGGGATGAGGGGGGGTTGTTCAGGTAGAGAGAAAAGGGATTCTTTTTTTTTCTTTTTCTTTAAGAAAAAATTATTCTTAAAGAATGTACAATGTCTGGTCTGACTTAGGCTCTTCCTTTCTGGGCCTACTTAATATCTTCAGACATTATAGGACAGAAAAGCATGTGTTGAATACTATATAGCCATGAAAAAGAATGAAGATTCCTATTTTCTGAAATGGAAAGACCACTGTATAGTTTTAAAGCCACAGTTATTGGGGGGGGGGGTTGTTGTTCTTTTTTAGTGAGACTCACTAACATTCATAAGGGAAATACCTCAAAATATACAAATTTGACACATACAACATTAAATGTGTCCCCCTGGATGCAGTGACGTGTGATTGGAAACACGTGAGTGAACCTCCAGACTCCCAAAGAGAGTGATGGCACAAGTACTGACAAGACTAGTGGGCAGATGGGTACTTGGGCTGGAGGGCAGGCTCCATGGCACTGGCCCACCTGGCTTAAAACCTCAGAACCCCAGACTTCTGAAACTCACACTGAGTTCATGCCATAGACTTTTGTTGTACTCACAGGTGCGTAGACCTGCAAGTGTCAAATCTGTGATCACCAAGTATCACATACTCTGCTACTGGCCTTTGTATCCATGTCCTGTGTGACAGAGGCCCAGTCACAGCTGCCCAGAACAGACAGCACTGCATGACTGGCACCTTAGAGAGCTTGGAGGCGGCGAGAGGGTCTGGGGTGTGACCGCAGCGTCTATGTTTTAATGCTGCAGCCTTCCCATGAGAGCAAGACCGGTGTGTTTGTCCAGACAGTACCGTGAGGGGAGAGGGTGAGCAAGTCCCAGATACCTGCTCTGAGTTCTTTCAGTCTTTGCTTTCTAAAGCTGTCGTGTCTGTGGGGCTGTGGTTTAATTAAAGAACTCAGCGTAGAGAAATGTCTGTCACGCCAGAGGGTAGTTTCAGGACAGCACAGACATGAGGCTGTGCTCATGAACTAGGGACCTCCGGCAGATCCTGGACTCTTCTGAGCCTGTTTTCTCATCCATAAAATGGAAATAAAGAGCCTGTCTATTGGGGGGCATTGTGAAGAGTAAATGAGGCAGCATAAAGAGTCTCTCAGGGCCTGGCCCATGGCCGTGGACAGCAGTAACAGGAATAATAACAAGCAGCCCGGTCACCAAGGACTTCATCCTCAGTCTGTCACCTGCTGACTTGATACCACTTAACCCTCGCATGGCGGCGGTGGCTGCTGCTGCTTTTCTCTCGTCTTCTCCCCACATCCCTGCTCCTTTCCAGCAGGGGCGACGCTAACGATTAGCCAGGGACGTTGGACACAGCCTTGCTCTTCTCCCACCTCACGAGTTGTCTGTGGCCTGTGTTTCAAGTGTTAATATCAAATGGAGGCAAGGGCAGGGGCGCCTCACCAAGCTGTTTCCTGAGGAAGGAGTGGATTTGCGCCTCTCGATGATCCAAACTGCAATTCTCAACCTCACCTGCTCCTTAAGGAGCCTCTCAAAATCCCAGCGCCTGGTTTCAGTGAGCTCTATGGGAGAGGACCCCGTCTCACTGAAGCACCCCTTTTCCTATCTCTTCAAGAAACTTGGCCTCACAAGGCTTGATGTCAGCCCTCAAGATACTGGTTTCTGCCTCAGTGAGGACCACCAGTTAGCATCCAAGGAGCCTTAGTTGGGGAAGGATAGGTGGGCATTTGATGAGCTGTGTCATTGATTAGAGTGTTGATGCCCAGCTGACCGAGGATCTGCTGGTCCAGGGTCACTTAGCTGAGCCGCCTGTGTGAAACCTCTACCTGGCTCACAGGAAGACGGGTAGAAGATAGTAGAGAGAGTAGAGGTCTCTCTGATGGCACCTTTTGTTCCTTCCTTTCTCTATCTGTAGAGATAATCGAGACTTGACCTTTTTAGGGTAGCAATACAACTCACAGGCCCCTCTTCCCCACATGACAGGCAGGACCATCAGGGCCTGGATAAAAATAAGCACCTCCCGTCCTCCACTTGCTCTCTAATTTTGGCCCCTTTTCTTTTCCCAGTTGCCAGAGGCTCAACCCGCTGAGGAGGAAGAACTGGAAGCCTGGGTGAACGCCTTGCTCGGAAGAATATTTTGGGACTTCTTGGGAGAGAAATACTGGTCTGATCTGGTGTCTAAGAAAATCCAAATGAAACTCAGCAAAATAAAGGTATTACTTGCCACATGAGAGGTTTCTGGTTCCTCACAGTAGTGGAAGTTTTATATCATTATGTCCTAAATAAAAGATAACTTATTTTAAAGCATGTGACACATGTGCTTGGGCACTTGCAATCAAAAATCATGTCTGGCCCCTGGGGGCTTGGGAAGCAGCTCTGCCGACTTTTTTCTCAGTCTGCCCTCGGTGTTACCCACTCTAGATAGACAATCCAAGACGTGTTTTAGGAAAATGTAAGTTGATGTTATATCTTGTGTGATTCTTCTTCCTTTCATCCAAAGATAGAAGTTAACTTTTATTTTCTGCATTTTCTAAAATGAACAGTACACGTTACCTTTTTTCGATGTGAATGAAATATAAAGTACACAATACTATGTCTAGCTGAGGAAATCGTCGGGCTCCTCAGACTTCTTCTCCAAGTCCTGTTCCCTCCCCAGTCTGGGAACATTGGCGTGACGCTCTAAATGTGTCTGCATTTGACCTTTACTTTGTGGCCAGATGGTACTTTATTTTGGGCTCACTCTCTTCTGAAGAGGCCAGCCGACTGCTGATCCAGGCCAGCTTGAAAGTGAGCTTAAACAGTGTACATATTTCTCCTAATTGCTGTTAAGTGACTAATTTGCCAACCAAGAGGCCTTCCTTAGCTTTCTGACAGGGCAGTTTTTGACTCAGTGAAGATCCAGCCATGAAGTAGTAATTCCAGTGCCGCATCTGCAGGGAGGATGTACACACTGCAATTGGTGCCTCTGAGGTTGGTCACAGAAGCCTATGGCTCCTCTCCCCAGAAAAATGCACATAGTGACCCGTAAGTTCCAAGCGTTCAAGCACTCCAGGTTAGAAGAGTGTGGGCTGCGGTCAGTGACAGTAGGAGGAAATGTGGGCGTCGAGGACCTGCACTTGGATTCCTGTCACTCTCTGGAGTGGGCACAGAGCCACGTCTAGCTTAGTCGTGCTCTGGCAAACTCTGGCTACCACTTTCAAGCCTTTCCATCCCCTCCCAAGCCCTTGATGAAGAGGAGGTGCTGGATTTGAGCATTGCGGTCAGGGTGGAGACTTGGGAGGGCTCTGTGGACAGTGCAGCTTGGGTGTGCTGTCAGGGTGGGTGAGGGTAGAGCCCGTGTCCACAACCGGCCCTCTAGAGGGGCCACACAGCAGTGACCCGGCCCCGGGAGGCATGAGTCAGCACCTGACCGTGAGTTCACTCATCTATTCTAACTCTTGAGGCGGTGAGTTCCCAGCCACAGCACACACAGGGCCACCACTGCCTCTTCTTCAAGCCCTGTTACCAGCTTTCCCACAAGCAGGTAGGCTGTGGGCTCCTGAGTGGAAGACGGAAAGCAGGCCATGCTTGAGCCCCAGACAGGGTGCTGCCCTCCCTGTCACATCTAGAATAGACTTGATGAACTGGAGCTAAGTCTGTGGTGTCATTAATCTTCCTAGTAAAGAAAGGCAAGCTTCCTCATTCTAGAAGGTGATGGAGGGGCTTTTATTTTGCTTTTCTCCCTTTGCTGTTGATGGGAGCCTTTGCAGCTCAGAAGCGGTCAGGTTAGAAGAGGGCAGTGATCCAGCAGCATCAGCAGTTGAGTGGTGGGCTTGGTCTCCCTCCATGGCCAGCCTCAGTCAGTATGTCTCCACATCCCCACTTCTGACCTGAAGGGCTGCCCAAGAAGTGGCCTGCAGACCAGAAGGGACCCTGAACAGTGAACTGACGAGGAGGGCAGCGGAATTTTACTCCTCACATTCTGAACCTGCCACCACTTCTGGCAAAAGTGTTCATTGTGACAAAATATCCAGAAGCTGTACTTTAAACACAATAGAGAGCAGGTGGGGCCTGGAGGAGCTGAGCTGTGCCCTCTCACACAGATGCCCCGCTTTCCTGGGAAGAACTGACTCGCCTATAGTTCCAGATTTTACCCCTTGTCCGTGGTAGACTTTTCAGACTGGAGTGCTGAAAGAGCAGGCCTCTGTGTTACCTGGTGCCAGTGATATATTCAAAACCAGCTGAGTTTCTAGCCAATAGCCAAGGTACTTATGGCTGCTGCCAGCCGCTAGGCCAGCTTATGTTGCTCTTACAATAAGCAATGCACAGTCGACCACCCTTAGATGTCCTGTGTACCTGAATCTCCCGTCTGCAGTTGAGGTGACTCAGGGGGCTGAAGGTGTCCCTGGATTCTTGTCTCACCAAGGTGCGTGCACTTTGAGTAGTTGGAGGGTTTCTGACTGAAAAGACCCAGAAGAGAAGTAACTTGCTGTGGGCCAAGACAGGAATCTGAACAAGGAAGAGAGCATGCTGGTAGAATTTAGATATGATCTAGAATCCTGGGCTCCTCCCTCCCCTTTCTGAATATGGTAATTAGAGCCCACCACTCCTCACTCCACCATACCTTTCTCCCATTCCTTGGGAGGGGTTCCTGGCCAGGGAGGAGGAGGGACAGTTATGTTCTGCTCTCTCTGCTTTCACTCCTGGGCTCCCTGTGGAATGCATGTTCCCATAGAAACACGGTTGGAAGTGGTGACGTTCCCTGGCCAGCCTGTCAGAGCCTGCAATCCAGCACGCTCTGAGCCACGAGTGCCACAGTGACAACAATAGAGATAAAGGACCTTACACAGGTACAAGATTCTGGTTACGTTTTTGGCTAAGAAGCATTTTGTAGGCTGATTGTGAGACTAGCTTACGACACTGATTCTTTGGAAGAACGCTAGTCAGATGGAACCACCACCAATCCAGAAGCACCTGTGAACACTGCCTCCCTCTCCTGACATTTTGCCCATCACAGACTTTGTGCCTCTTTAATCTCTTCACATGACCTTCATCTCCCAAAAAGCTAGGGATAGAGCTCTCTGACTAGTGAATCCTAAAAGTTTGTTTCATTGCTGGAGATTAAATGTTAAATCTATGCTTGCCTAAGTGCTGCCTCATTTTACAGGAATTACTCAACAAATGACTTTATTTTTTAAAAAAAAAACAACACAACCTCTTAATTAAAATTTTATGCTACCATTGTAATGTTTAACTTGAAGAATATTTGTGAGAATAACTAAGAAAATTCTAGAATGGGGAAGAAAAGGAGGGACTGACCAGTTTTAAAAATAGGAAACTGTAGTAATTGTTTGATACTGGCAGAAAACAGAATGCTCAATACAGACTCCAGTCTAGTGGGGGAAATGGCATGGCAAATTAATAAGGAGTTGGCATCTCAAAATTTGGGACAGATGACTAGTCATTGTGGGGAAAAAAGAAAAGTTGAATCCCTCCTTTATAATTTACACTAAAATTTTGAATGGATTAAAGATTTCAATAAAAATATGTATATACAAATCTCATAGGAAAACATATCTCAAAAATTCACACTGATTGCCATGGAGGAGAAACTGACTCACACCTGACCATTCCGTTTCTGAAAATATGAGTTACATGAAAGGAAATTGCCCATCTTTCTCCCTCAGAGCCCCTGGTGGATTTGAACCACCAGAGAAGCATGGCCATTGGGTTAGCAGCACAACTCTCTATGGATTGGGCTACCAGAGCTCCAAGAAGAAACAGAGATGAGTTCATTCTGTAATCTTGAGGTGAAATAGGCGTTTCAAATCATGACACCAGCCCTCTTACTTCCTTTAGAATAAATCCCCACTGGTAGATTTGGGAGTTTGTATTTATGGAGGTCAAAGTAGGAGACAAACGAGGTCGTCAGAAGGAAGACTTTAACAAAAAGATTTCAAAAATTGTAGACAGAATGTAGAGAGACTAAAATGGAATAGGTCAGCACTGGGATTTAGCAACAGTGGGGAATTGTTCTGCCTCCCTGGAGGGAAGGGAGTTCCTGGAACTCAGAAGTGGCAGCTGTCTCAGCAGCTGTGGCCTTCAGTGGTGGGGCTCCAGAGGGGATAGATGCCTGCAACTCTCTTATCTGCATATCTCCCACCTCACTGTCCATTGGTGCATCCCATTGGCTGTGTCCAACCAGAACCCAGAATGATTCACAAAGGCCCGCCTCTCAGGGGAGAAGGTGAAGCTCAGATCAAAAAAGATAAACATAAAGTGTCCAGCTTGAGGGCAAAGAGATGTGATGCTAAAATATTTTAATACAAGTTGTACATTTGCTTGGTGGAAACGTTAAGGGGACAGCCTGCCCCCACTAATTTAAGAGGGTTTCGTTTGCCCACACTTTGGCTGACCCTGGCATTGTCCAGCTAACCAGCGTGGCTGGCTCTCTTCCATGGGCACATCTATGAATAAAAGCCACCCCTCAGAGAAACCTTCGTAGACCTCCTTAGCCAAAATAGCCACTTCCTCGCTTGCTCCAAGCTCTCTCTTATCACCTGCTTCATATTCTTGGTAGCACTAGTCACTCTCTGAAATGATCTATCACTAATTTGTTGGTTTCTCCTTCTGTATATACTCCTTGGAGAGCAAGGAACGTGCCTGGCTTATTTATGATGCTGTATTTCAAGTTCAATGACTAGTATGTGGAATGACCTCAGTATATTTTGGTTAAATAAATAGATGATATAGCCAAGCTTTGGCCACCGTTCCTTCCAAGACCATGTTGAATTCTTACTAGGCATTTTGTACAAGGTTAGTAATGTGTCTCATCCACTGTTTGCTTCTTTTCTCCAGCTCCCCTACTTTATGAATGAGCTGACGCTGACGGAACTTGACATGGGGGTGGCTGTGCCAAAAATCCTTCAGGCCTTCAAGCCTTACGTTGATCACCAAGGTAACTCTTAATTGACTCTAGAGAGGAACCAAGCTTGTAAATGATTGTTAAGATGTGTGCATCACTGTGGATCCAGTGCCAAGCCTTTATACTCAGAGGACACTGGAGACTATTTTCAACCATCTGTTCATGTTGAAGGAACCCTGGTGAAGCACTAAGTGCTTATCAGCAAACCCAAAGGTCAGCAGTTCAAACCCATCGGTTGCTCCTCAGAAAAAAGATGTAGCAGTCTGCTATGGGTCAGTTCTGCTCTGTCCTCTAAGGTCACTAAGAGCTGGATTCAACTTGAGACAATGCTATTTGATGTTGAATGTTTTCTTTTTTTAAAAAATAATACTTTATTGTTTTCAGTGAAGGTTTACACAGGAGTTTGGGTTTCCATTCAGCAGTTTCTTCATCACTTGTTCAGCCGTCGTGATCTTTGTCAACATTGGTTATGATGCATGAACATTCTCAATGCTTCCATTGCAGTTGTTCCTTTGCCATTAATATACTGTCCCTTCTCTCTTACCTTCGCATTTCTTTTAAAGTCATTCTTGAGTGTTTACACTCATAGGTGATTTTTTTTTCCTTAAAGAACAGTACTCAGGATGGTACTTCTTCATTTTGTGGGACAGTGTGTTGTTTAGCTGAAAAAGTGGCCTCAGGGGCTAACTTCAAGTCAAAGTTTAAAACTGCCTTTTCTTCTTAACCATCACAGCTCTAAACTGACCGGGCATAGAGCAGAGCACTCTAAATCCCCGAGGTATTTCTCATCCTTGTAGGGCCACCCTCAGCCTGAAGATGTCCTTGTGCCAGCTGATGAGGCCCAAGTCTTTGTGTCTTAAAAACAGAACCTACCCTACAAGGAACCTGGTTGGCACAGCAATACCGCTCCTAACTTAAAGCTTGGCAGTTCAAAACTCATCAGCCCTCTGTCAGAGAAATATGTGACAGTCCACTGTTTCTGAAAAAGAGTACAGACTTAGGAAGCCTTTGGGGAAGTTCTGCTCTGCCCTGTGGGGTCAACTGTGAGTCAGAATCAACTGGACAGTGATGAGTTTTGGTTTTGAGACCTGCCCTGGTGACCTCAGACCTTGTTCTGCGGTGCAGGAAGCGGTCTGGATTTCAGCCCTTGGACCCTTTCTGACCCCCTGCCCTGCCTCATCACCAGCAGCTGTCTCTCTTCTTGATTCAGCCCTTTTTTTAAAACCTTGATCCCACTTACAAATTCTTTGAGCTTCATGTTTTACATCTTTGTGCTCCTTGCCACTCATAGTAGTTGCTTTGTATGTGTTTGGAAAATGAAGACATGCTTAAAGTCTCATTCAGAGTATTTGAAAGTGAGCTTCTTTGCTGATGGAAAGTTCTCAAATTTGATTTGTAAAATGTGCTGCTGACACTGTTAATGCCCACTCCTGTGGGAGAAGGGAAAGGGTGGTTAGAATGTAGACAATTAAATAAAATTAGGACTTAAAGATTTATGCATATTTTTGTGGGACATGGGTTTTCCCCCTTTAATAACTGTATTATTATTATTATTAATAATATGTTTGTCACCTTAAGATTTTTGTCAATGTACAATTTAGTGGCATTAATTACATTCATCATGTTGTACAGGCATCATCAGTATCTGTTGTTTTATTTTTATTAATTTTTTTGTGTGTACCATCAAATCTGATCTGATTGGAACAGGAGGAGATTATCCCTCCTCCTTCAGCAGAGCATCTGGTGGATTTGAACCATTCACCACTGGGATTGCAGTGCAGCTTCTTGCCACTAGTATCTGTTGTATGTGTGTGGTTTTAAAAAGAACCTGGCAAGGACAATTTGATATACAGGAGTTTGGTGAAAAGAGGAGAGAGCCAGGCAGGCAGAAACTATTTCGGAGCAGGTGGGAAAAGACAGATGCTTCTGATCACAGGGGCCCTTTCTGAGCGAGCTTCTTACCCCTTACGGCTCCCAAACAATGTAGGGGAGAGAACCATTAGAATTTTCCAAGAAAAGCATATTTGTTTTCAAGTAAATGTTTTGAGAGATGTGCAGGCTATTAGAAGCAGCGACTTTTGTCCCTGGCTGTATCAGATGGCTTCTGTGCCATGTTCAGTGAACTCATTTTCATCTGTTGTGCACATTTGATGAAAACATGGAGATTTTCTGGAGTGGCTCTGTCAGATCTCTCCAGGGATCGCTTGCAGCTGCCCGGGAGCCCAGATTGCTGTTTTTAGCATCTCATCAGTGTCAGAGAAAGTCAGTCTAGAGTATGTTTGCAAATCCAGAAGTCCACCTCGTGCCCAAGTGTTGAGATCACAAAGAACCCCCTCACCGTGGCTTCACTTCAGTGAAGCTGAGTGCTGTCTGATTTGGTTAATTTCTGGGCCACTGAGCAGAAAACTAGAAATGCTTTGCCATATTTTTGCACAAATAATACACACGCTACCCACTTCCCTGTGAGCCGTGCAGCCCTCTCACATGTTCATTTCCTTTGTGTGTTATGAATATTTTTTCGTGGGCATGTGATATGTGGAAAAATACAGTAGATTCTCAGCAACTAACTTAGTTGGAATGCTTTTAAGACCCATGTCAAGTTTCTAAGAGGTGTGTTTTTTCATGTTAACTATAAACCACGTGAGGCTTTGCCCCGCTGGTCTAGTGTCTGAGGGCCGCTTGATTTCTCTGATTCCCTGTTGCCCTTTGCTCTTTGCAGAGTTCCTCTTTTCTTGAGGAGTTGACCAGCACCACGCTGGTAAATGGTCAGCTGACCTCGAACAGGGCCTAAAGAAAGTAAATGATACATAGACATGTAAGCACTCAGCTTTCTGATGCCTCAGCAGTCTTTTATGCCAGGATGGGTTTTTTTGTGTGAATTAGTGGACTTTTCCAAACAAGAGCACAGGCCCACGACTGGGCTCTACAGTATTGTTGCAGAAGGCACCCTTGCAACCCCATGCCTCCCAGGGCAGCTTCGGTTCTGCTTCTACTCAACCATACTCAGCACCAGAGTTTTGGGATTCTTTCTTGTTTTTCTAGAACAGGAGCTGTAGGAAGATAGTTCACTATATAGCTCAAAGCTTTACAAATTTGTAATCTGTTAGAGGCTTATTTAATTATTCAGGGCACATTTTTAATATCTACCTGTTTCTATTGTTGTTGTATAGCATTGAGTTGGAACCGACCCATAGCTGACTCTCCATCAGGTTTTCAGAGGCAGGTAATCGCACAGGAGGGGAGTGTCCATCCTTCTCGCACAGAGCAGCTGGTGGCCTCAAAGCATGTGCCTTTGGGATTGCAGTGCAGCTTCTTTCCACTAGACCATCAGAGCTCAAGGGATAATGTTGCTAAAGAAAGGCAAGATAAGGGGTTTCTTCTACGTCTACAAAGGATGCCATGCAATGGGAAGATAGAAATGAAGAGGGAAGAAACACGCACTTTGGGTTCTTTTGCTGTATGGGAACCTTTCCTTTTAGGGAGTATAAAATCTGGAGGATTTGCCACAGCCAAACCACTCCCCGTGGAGGGACAGCATCCCGTAGTAGAGAGTAGAACTGCCCATAGAATTCCTGAGGATGTGAGGCTTTACGGACGCAAACCATCAACCACATCTTCGTTCTGTGGAGGAAGGAGGTGGTGGACTCAAACCATAGACCTTTCAGTTCATAGCTGAGCACTTTAACCGCTGCATCTCCAGGGTTTCATGACTCTTAAAAGTGGAGTCCAGGGAAATACTTCCAGGGTGATGAGTAAGGCTGTATCAGCTTTAAGAAGGGGCTCTTCCTGAGGGATCCCCTCTCCATTCATTTGTACTTAATTTGTTTTCTTACTCTTCTCTGTGTCTGTCTGTCCGGCCTACTCAGCCAGCTCCCTCCTACTTGCCATTCCTCTCAGCCAAACCCTTTCTGACTCTGTTAGAATAATGTTCACTCATTCCACAAATACTACTTAACAGTGGAGAAAACAGAAATATTTAGAAAAGGTAAAAAGGAAAATATTCCCCATCATTCACTGTTCAGACACAGCCAGGTGACCTTCTGTGTATGTTCTTTGCTAATCTTTTTTCCTATGGATAAAAATTTTAAAGTGTATCTGAGCACACACACACACTAACACCCACTCCCTCACACACACTGTTGTCCAGTTGGTGCTGACTCCTAGTGACACTGCCGGGTTTCTGAGGCTGTAAATCCTAATGAGAGGAGACTGGCCATCTTTCTCCCTCTACACTACTTGTGGATTTGAACTCCCACCCTTTTGGTTAGTAATCTGATGCATTGCACACCACACCAGACCCCCAGCGTTCCTTTTAGAATGTCTTATTATGTACTGTAGAGTCAGAACTGACCCATAGCTGACCCTCTGCTGGGTTTTCAGAGGCAGTAATCACACTGAAGGAAATTGCCCATCCTTTTCCCATGGAGCAGTTGGTGGCCTTGAACTTGTGGCCTTTGGGATTGCAGTGCAGCTTCTTCCCAGTAGGCTATCAGAGCTCCCTTTTAGAATGTGTACCTCTTAATTAAACCTCTAAGGGACCAGCCAGGTTAACTATTTAGGCACTGAGGGAACGCTCCAGAGGTCACCCTGAGCCTCCCTTTCCAGCCAGTTCTGTGGTTTCCCGTCCAGCACTAGAGCCCCACCACTCGGCCTACGCCGGCAGCCTGGTGCCTGCAGCTCAGCCCTCACCTGTCAGCTGTGGGCTTGGCCTCTCCACACCTATTTCCTTGTCACAAATCACTCACTGCTGGTGGTAGTGTGTACTGGCTGGACTGTGGTCCAGGAAGTCTTGCATGTGGTACAGACTGAGCCACAGTGGGTGTGTGCTGCTGCTGGAAAGGCTTCCCGAAGGGTTTAGGAAGCAGGGGTGACCTGTGGGGCAGGTTTTCATCTTCCATGTATGTGACCAGGGCGCCCAGAGCAGTAACAAGTGTGTCGGAGGGCCAAGCAGAGCAATGGCGTGGACTGCAAGCCCTTGACTGGATCAGTCCATTCAGTCCTCAGGAAGTTTGCTGTACGTTTTGAAGTCCACACGAGTCATTGAATGCCCTCTGTGGGCAGGTTTTTCCTGGTCTTGAGCCTGACTCAGATGCCAACTCAAGTTTCAACAGCAGTTTCCAGAATCTGCGGGAAAATTCCTTCATCCCGTGTCTGTTCACAGAGGCCCTTGGTTGTTGCAGGTGCTGTGTGAAGCCTAGTCCAGTGACACTCAGGCCTTTTAGTCATTTTTATAGTACTAATTCCCCAGACTGCTATGTAAAATGTTGTTGTTGTGTATACCATCTGGTCAGAACTGACCCATAGCTGACCCTCCAGCGGGTTTTCAGAGGCACTTAATCGCATGAGAGGAGATTGCCCATCCTTCTCCCGTGTAGCAGCTGGTGGCCTTGAACCATGTGTCTTTGGGATTGCCGCACAGCTTCTTGCCACAAGGCCACCATTACTAGATTTATTCGAACACGCTAGCGCTGTTGCTGAGGCATGGCATCTGTTCAGTAGCACACCAGGCAGAAGAACCTATGTTCTACTTGTGGCTCCACCCTGTCTCTGAGGGCACGCACCCCGGCAAGCCTGCTCTGTCCAGAGGTATCGCGGTCAGCCTGCTACCAGCACTACATGTCCCCCTGCGCCACCTTCGCTCTTCTTTGAGCATAAACCCCAGAGGGCAGGGGGCATCTCATCCTAGTGAATTTAGGTCTGATAACCTTCTATTAGGAACTAAATAAATGGTTTAAAGTGGAACAAGACGTGGCTTTTGCCCTGTATCCCTCGTGGCGGTGGCTGCTGGTAACGTCCGTCCTGATGCTGGATAGTGAAGGGTGGCCATCTGCACTGCACACACAGCCTTGCATGGAGACTGCTGAATCAAGGGCTTTATCGGGGTGCATTATCAGGCTCTCCCCTGACATCCTCTCATCTCAGGAGCTCTGGCCCCCTTTCCAGAAAGCTCTCAGAACCCTACTCATTTCACAGCATCAGCTCTTGTCCTGCCACTCACCTTCTGGTATTTGTCTTTGAGCACAACCAAGAGCAGAAGGGTACAGAACGCGTTATTTTACATGAAATGCTTCACATTGTCTTAAGTAAAGAAAAAAGAAAAGGCTCTTACTACATAATCTATATTAATAGCATTGAGCTCTGCTGGCATTAAGGCGCCACTCATGAAACAGTTATGTCCCCAGCTTCTCATTGTTGCGACACTTACCCCCAGTGGGAAGACAACTTTGGTGGTAACTGTTAATTTCCTCTCTGTCACTCAGGTGGGGGCCTCCTGACTCATCATTACATAACCAGCTGGTCTCAGCTCCAAGTTGCGCCTGCTTCCCAGATTTTCAGGGTGCTTTTGCCTGTTTAATCATTGTCACAGAAGCAAGTTTTTCTTTACACCGAAGGCTAAAATAGTCTCCTTGCCCTCATCTGAATGCCAGAACATCGTACTAACTTACTGGAGTGTTTATTTGTATTTGATATCTGTTTTCAGTGTTCTCAAACTATCCTGAACTCCAGCAGGTGTTCACTGTGGGCCTCAGGCGAGCAGGGCCCACTCCCAGTGTATGAACAATAGTATAAGAAACTGACTTTGTTGTTAGTTGTTGTGATGTGACAGTGAGTCAGAACCAGCTCCCCTCTAACCTGCCAGCAGGTTTTCAGAGGCTGGCCCTCACACAGGAGGAGGTTGCCCGTTCTTCTCTCGGGAAGCGAGTTTGCAGCTCTGCCTTTGGGTTGGCAGCACAACTCCTTACCACTAGGCCACCAAAGTTCCCCACCCCTGCCCACTGTTGTTGTGTACCATCAAGTCAGAACCAACCCATAGCTGACCCTCCAGCAGGTTTTCAGGGGTAGGATGCCTCACAGGCGGTGACTGCCCGTTCATCTTCCTCAGAACAGCTGGTGGATTTGAACCAGGTGCCTTCGTGTTGACAGTGTAGCTCCTTACCACTAGCTACCAGAGCTCCTTCCTTCCCATTGTTATTGTTGTTGTATGCTGTCAAGGCGGGGCTGACCCCTAGCTGACCTTCCAGCAGGTTTTTAGAGGCAGTAAATCTCAGGGGAGAAGATAGCCCATCCTTCTCTCTCGGAGCAGCTGATGGGTCTCTAACTGCTTGCCTTTGGGATTGCAGTACAGCTCCTTACCACTAAGCTGCCAGAGCTCCCTTCTCCCCAGTAGGAGACCCAGTGAGAGATCAGGCCCCTTGGCGCAGCCTCATCGCATTGCCCCTGTGGTCTCTGCTAGACTGTCCCATCTGCATGGTCCACAGCTGCAAGCCAGACTGGAGCCAGAGTTGGAGAAGTCAGGAAGTAGAGCTGCTGGTGGCTGACTAGTGCTGTTTGCACATAGCAGTCCCCTGAAGAGTCAGCACTGGCTTCATTGTGTAAATGACCAGACTGCGGCCTAGAGGTTAGACCATTTCAGTGAGGCCCATTGGGCTTGGCTCCACCTTCCCCTTGACCTTCACCACCTTAGCTCCTGGACCACATGATCACATGGAATGCCCGCTTGGTTGGGTTGTGAACCAGCACTTTCCAAACCCTTACACTGAAAATACAAACAAAACTCCCATTTTTTAAAGTAAAATTTTAGTGTCTTTTATATGACAACCTTCAAAGGGGATGCGTACTATTAATATTTACTGAAAAACTGATTGAGGTTTTCAAAAGAGATGATTATGTTTGAATCCATACAGCAACCAGGTAGTTTTGAATCTATTGCTTCTCAAATAAAGCTGAAGATAGCATACAACAATAAATGCCATCTTTATTGATGTTCTTTTTATATTTCAAGTCTTTGCCTCAATCTCATTCCTATTTGGAGCAATTAATGATGAAATGTCTTTATTAGAGCAAGTGTACCCTTTATTTCCAGTAATAGTACCTTTGAAGAGCAAGCTAATTAATTTTCAACTGCTTAATGCAATCAAGAAATAAAGCTATTTTGTATGGCTTCAAAGAGGACAACAACCTGTATATCACTTAACAAAAACAAATCATTCACAGAAAAGAACTCCTTCGATTAGAATAAAAAGAATTTGTTGAAAACAAAATGGAAATTATTCTGACTTTGATGAGGAATGGCGCCATTAGTGCCTCTTGAGGTTAAGCAAAGCCTTTTATCTGAGGCAGTGGTTAAGTGGAGGGATGGATTATTTACTGTAATTGCTTGAAAATGTTGTTGTGTGTGAACAGCGGTTTTAGATTAATTTCCTGTCTCCTTTTAGTTGTTGTCATTTGTCTTAGAAGGTCCGTAAAAATGTATTAACACTTAGCCATTCACTTGAAGAAGTGCATTTTGATGGTAGTCCATGAGATGTAGTGGCACTGACCCAGAACAATCGCGGCCTTGCCTGTGTTAATGTGGTGACTAGAATCTGCGTGTAGACAAGGGGCCTGGTGTGGGCTCTACCAGCTGTATAGACTGCTGGTCGCTGGCCACTTCTGATGGTCGCCATTCATTGAAATTCCACAAAAGTAAATGCCTCTCTGATACGTTCTCATTGGCATTAGTATCTTTTTTAAGGAATTGAGTTTTAAGTCAAGGTACAAAAGGTTACCCAGCTGTAGCTGGATAATACTGGGACTAGAAAGTTAAGTCTTTTGCATACATTCTAAACAACTTCCAGAAAGAAAGAGATTTCAGAAAGTATTTGTCGTTCTCTTGTGCTAAGCCATTTTCTGGACTTCCCCCACCTTGATGATACTAAGGGACTGTGGCTCTCACAGAGGCTCTGGTGGCTTAGTGGTAAAGAAATTGTGCTGCCAACCCAAGCAAGTGGTTCGAATCCACTAACTGCTCCACAGGAGAAGGATGAACAGTCTTCTCTCTAGTGTGATCTACGGCCCCTGAAAACCCGCTGTGGGCCATCTGTGAGATAGTTCTAACTCAGCAGCACATAACATGATGTTCAGATGTCTCCAAAGGCCGACTCCGTTAACGGTGAGATGGGCTCTGCTCTTCTGCCTTGTAACTGGCAGTGACCAGGAGAATGAATGCTCGCAGTGCTGCTGGGAGCTGTGCGTTCCCTTACATAACATGAGGAGCAGAAACTGGAGGGTGGGCCCTTCCAGCCCTAACTTGTTGTGACGTCTCTGTCACCATGCTAATCAGTGCTGAAATCAGTTTCTGGAAGCTTCCAAAGATGACTCTCGGGTATATTAGAGAGTTCAAGAGAAATGTAGAGTTTCCATGTGATGCTTATTTAAACACTTTCAAACATAAATGTTCCTATTGTCATTGATAGCCATATGTTTCCTTGGAGGAAGAAAAAAAAAACCACCACAAAATCAGCCCTTTTGTTTTTTCTCCAGGACTCTGGATTGATTTGGAAATGTCCTACAATGGGTCCTTTCTGATGACTCTCGAGACCAAAATGAATTTGACCAAACTAGGTAAAGAGCCTCTTGTTGAAGCCCTGAAGGTTGGAGAGATTGGCAAAGAAGGGTAAGGGGCTATATGAATTTCCTAAATGTGCTCCCGCCCTGGGGAACCAGTGTCCACCCTCACCCTAGAGCAGCGGGTCTGAGGTGTAGTGTCCCGGGATGTTGAGTCAGCTGCTGTGTAAGTGATTTCAGACCCCAGAGCATTTGAGGCAGTGGTTTCCTAGTCTCACCCACAATGAACAGCCAGCCCCCCTCACCCAGGGCAGCATGGACCATGAATTCTTGTCTTCTTACAGCTGTGACAGCACCGAGATCAGAATTAGCTGTGGTGCCATGGTATCGCTTCCCCAGGGAGTACTGGCCGCTCAGACAGCAGCACAGGCTCCTCCGAGCAATAGACTAGAACAGACTAGAATCTTCCTCTTCAGCTCTCAGCCACGGACAGCAGGGTGTGGACCAGGCCCAGATCGCTGGGGGACCTGTTGGCTTTAATCAGAAATTCACATAAAGTTAAAAGTAGATGATCGATTTTGTAGCCAGGCAGGTGCTCCGAAAGTGTACTGAGAAGCATTTTCCCTAAATACTGTAATATTGATTGGCTTCATAAATTCCTCTCTTTATAGATGGGGCATCTGCGGCACAGTTTGTCTGATTTAGTGAAAACTTCAAATTGGTGAAATAATGAATGAGGCCTTTTTTCTCATTTAATGCCAACATTATAAAAAATAGCACTTTTATAATTCCTACACACCTTAAAAATTAGTCCTTCTGACCAACTACAAATTTAAATTAATAGTCTCATGTTTACAAATTAGCAATGTGGACTAGAGCCCTCATCCCACATCTCTAAGTCTCCTGCATGTAGTTAATTGTAGGATGCTGGACAGACACTACCAGGAGCCCCCATCGAGGTCTAAATACAAGACACAGACTCAGCTCAGGATTGCTTAGTTAACGACATCATGCTCTCACTCACACGTGGGTAGAGCAGACTGGGGGAGCTGGGCCTCACAGGCGAATTATTCTGCTTTATTCAGGCTGCTCAATGAAATGTTTCTTTTAATCATTGGAGGTTTTGACCTGCTGTACGCAAGCTAACCCTTCTCTGTGCTGTCTTCCTTTTGTTTCTCTGCTCTTTGTTAAAATGTCTTTGGACCTGGCCTCTGTGGATTGGTATTTTCTGGTGAGTGGTATTTATCAACTCTACGTGTAGCATTTCGTCCCCTGTGCACCCTGAGACTTGTTGGTGCTACATGCAGCCACCAAGGTGCTTGTCCTTTCATCATGTTCCTAGACGTGATGGCACAGTCCGTGGACGTGACGCGGGGGGTTCTGAAGTTTTCCTGCCTGGGAGAGTCTTACAGACATCCCTGGTGTGAATGGACAAGAGCCCAGTCTTGGTGTCCAGTCAAATTCACCTCCTTGTCCCCACATGTCCCCCCTCTTCCCCCCCCCCCAGCCTACACCAAGCATCCACAGTTGAGCCTCATGACATCAGAATTGCAAAAGCGGATGCCTAGAAAATGAAGCACTACGGGGAGAGGAATTTCAGGCACAATGTCTTGAAAATGAGGCTAAAATGAAGGAGCTTGAGAAATTGTCTTAGCTTGTGAGCACTGAGCCTTGTTAGGGCCACGGGCCAGTCAGTCACGTGGAGAGCCCTTTCTAGAAACACCTCTGCCCACACAGCCGCTGGGAGCCCTTTGGAAAGAGGGTCCTGGGCATCAGGTGAAACCCCATGTGGGTTGGTCCTTGAGATCTTAGTCCCCTAGGCATTCCTCATTTACTATTACTTGTAAATGCTCAGCACAGTTTCATGAATTCACAGACTGGCTGACCAAAGGGTATTTCTGAGTGCTCATTGTGTCAATAGACTGTATGCAGGAGGGGCTGTACCTGCCTTTCAGGGAACCAGAGGTGACACTTGTTAAACATGACTCTAGAGGGGGAAATGTTTCTGCTTTAGGAAGATGGTAGTATTAAATTTTATTCCTGTTCTATTTTAAAATCCTAATATTTTCTCTTCTGGAAGTCTGCGATAAAATATTTTGCTTCTCCTTGTGAGAGTGTTAAACCATATATTGATGTATCTAATTGGCTGTCCTTGAATTTTAAAATAAAGAATATAACCCAAGACCACTTCATTGGAAAGACAAGAACTTGGAAAAATAGTCCCTTGAACCATTTTTTTAGGATCAGAAGGCCCTTAGGGAACCAAAGCTCTGAATTTTTCTCACAGAAAATATTGCCTATGCACCATTTGACCACAGCTTCTGGGAGTGTAGAAAGCCCACCTTTGGTTAAGAAGCCCAGAGATGATTCTAGAAATCTACTTCCTCCCTCTTGAGCACATGGCCACCTTGAGGCCAAACACCAGAGTGAAATGGGATGTCAGTGTACATCTTAGGTATATTAAGCATGTGACTTTGGCATTGACATTTTCCTTAATGTTGAACCTCCCCAAAGAGCAGAGACCTGAGTGTTGGCCTGCAGTATTCTTTCCACCATGGCTGCCACAGTGGGACCTCCCTCCCGGCCAGAGTCACCCCTTCTCTTGCTCTGATGGGACCTCCTGCTCTGGCTCACTATTTCCTTCAGCCCCTTCAAGTGTGCAGACGCTTTCTAGTTTCTGAGAAGAAATCCTATGTCCTGGTTGGAAGTTGGTTGGTGCTTTTAACCTGAGGGTCACAGTTAAGAGTTTTAATCTGTGTTGTTTTGTTCTAGTGACGTTCTTTCCCTTTGTGCTGCATGTGTACATTTTATATCTGCAGGGAATTTTCCCAGAGTCCTTTTATTTCACAAATGGTGTGTGATAAACTGTAGCTAATGTAACTCTTAGACAATAAAGTACTCAAAGTGGAATCCAGGGTAGTGAGCTGAGCGGTCTTGACTGTAGGAATTGAAATGGAAAAAAAGGCCAAAGTGAGTCAGAAAGGGAATCATTTCATGAATGGAGTTCTCTCTGGTGGCGTGGCCTGGCGGGAGCTACTCTGTTAACTGCCTGCCCAGTGATTCTCAAATGTACCTCTAGCTCAGTGGAAGAAAGATAGGTATTCTCCTCCCATGTGATTTACAGCCTTGGAAACCAGTGGAGGGTCAGCTGTGGGTTGGTTCCAACTTGACAGCAATGAGTGAAGTTTTGTAACTGAATAGAAGCATTGGAGTGGAATGACACTCGTGAGGAAATGCTCGGCTTATTCATATTCTGCTGATGTAGCCTGGGTCCGCGCTGTAAGCCCACAATGTGGCAGTCCACTCGGGCCCTCATGTCCAAGCCCACCACCACCTCAAGGCCCCTGAGGCCCTGGGAGCTGGAATGTTATGACTCCATCTGTTCTATGGGTGTACATGCATATGTGTCTGTGATGTGTCAGGGACACATTAATCTTAAATAGATAATAAACACATTCACGTGAATGTGGCCCCCTCCACACATACCCCTCCCAGGGCTGTCTAACCTGGTTATACCTTTTCCTTAGAGCATTTTGAAGCTGCTTTTTAGAATCACTTCCAGAGTCTGTGACTGTTGTATAACTATCCTGAGTGACAACAGACCATCCTGCTTTGTCCCAAAGGGTTATTAGATCTTTGAGAAATTGTTAGAAGTCAATCAGAGATGATAGTGATTATGAGACCAAGAAATAGAGCTTTTAGCCCAAGGCTGAGCTCCAGTGACAACATCATTCACTCTTGCTTATGTGTTTATTCCAGAAACCTCTTTAGCAGAAGCAGCAGAAATGGGCAACCTTCGAAGGCGGCCCTTTGAGAGAGTCTCACTCATCTAGAACTCTGAATCATGTTGGACATATTAGGCTCATTAGAGTATAGCACATCTTTCATAAGTCCATGCTGGGAGCATAAGGTCAAGATCAGAAAGCATGTTTCCTTAATTACAAAGCTGACTATGAACCAGTTATATGTAAGTAATAAGTATTGTTACAAGACTTATAATAAGTATTGGGCACCACACAGTGCAAACCCCAGTGCAGAGAGTTAGGGCGCCATTGGACAAAATCAGAATTTCACATCATCTATCGGCTTTAGCTGGTATAGCAGGATCTAAATTAACTTCAGCCACAAAACTTGACCTGCTCAGGACAAATCCAGGAACCTGAGAGCTCGCAGCGGTGCACAGCCTTTAGCAGCTTCTGCCCAGGACCCAGAGCAACCAGGTGACCTGCCAGTGGGGACACCAGGGATCTGGTGGTCCAGCAGGTCCCACTGTGGTCCATGTCTTCCAGGCCACCTCTTCCTGGACGAAGAACAGATGACCTGTACAGTGTAGGACAGAGTCCATCCCAGCATCACCAGCTCTGGGTGGGAACATAGCCCTCTTACTGGAGAAGGAGTCGAGAGACGGTTTCAGATGCTTGGGTTGTTCCTGATCCCCTTTAACCAGTTTAGATTTTCTTATATTTTACTATATACATTTTAAGAGTCCTTCAGTAGTGCACTTATTAAACTCTTAGTTGTTGCCCAAAAGGTTGTCACTTGAGCCCACCCAGAGGTACCCGGAAGAAAGGCCTGGCAATCTTCCATGAAAACCCTTCCGAGCCGTTTTGCTCCGCATGTGAGTGGGTCGCCGTGAGGCAGAGCCACTCCACAGTGTTTGGGTTTTGCTTTTTGTTTTTCATTTTCATCTCCACTATAAATGAAAAATCGCTTTCTTTGTGAAAGAGAACTGCAGAACTCTCTGAAATAGCTTTGTGACTGGAGGTGATCATAGGCATTTTCTGGACCAGTCTAGCTGCAGGAGAAGGAAGAGCGGACCGGGCAGGGTGAGAGATTGAGGCTTTTGTTCTGCTGCAGGAGTTCCCCTTTAATGTTGGACTCATGCCTGTTAACTGAGCAGTTGGCTCTAGTGTTTCAGAGCCAGTGTTGCAGAGGACCGGCTTGTCCCGTGGGGAGGGCCCTGGCTCATGAGGTCCTCTTACAGCCAGGCTCCTGTTTCAGGGTTGGAGGTTTCAGTCCCAACCCCAGGGCACCCCTCAGGGACCTCTGCTGGACCTTCCAGGCCACGCTGACATAGATGCTTTGTCCTTGAACACCCTTGGCCCCCTTTGGTCAGCCGTTGCCTGCTCCATGGGTTTCTGGTGCCCCCCAGGACAGCATCAGAGAAAAGGAAAGGCTCAACAGGTGTGAAAAGCTAGGCTTGAGCACCATGGCCTTGAACTGGCTGGGTAGTCTGTCCTTGGCCTAGCCTCTGCTCAGTGACTGTTAGCTTGACACCACTCAGTAACCACTCTGTCCCTCACTCGTTTCACCCTAATTAAGTCTCTGGGCCTCATCACCCCTCAGAGAACACCCTGAGCGCTCTCTGCTCTGATGACCAGCAAGCCCCATGCCAGGGCAGACCCAGTGCCCAACCTGAGAATGTCTGTGCCAGATACTGCTCTCTGATGATACCATTAGGACTGTAGTAAAAAGGTGATCTTTCAATTTCTGGTTTCCCAGAAGGTTCCTCTGTCAGTTACTTTCTAAAGTCTTTAAGCCTCACAACTTTGTTGTAGATGGCTTTTTCTGTGACACTCAGGTGTGGAGTAAAGCATGAACTTTTGCTTAAAGGAGTCTAGAGTCAAAACTAGCTTTGGACTGTGGCATTTGGACAAGAACAAACTGGGAGGAGGGTAGAGAGAATAGTGCAACAATGAATGAGTGGAAGCCCAAAATCTCTGTAAATGTTTATGAAAATTAATAAAATATAATTATAGAAAAAAAAAGAAAAAAAAAACTAGCTTTGGAGTACTTGAGCCATGAAGATGCCATAGGAATTGAACTCAGTGGTCGCCAGAAAACTTGTCATTGGTCAAGAGGCAGTCATAGCTCCCACATACGCTGTCACCTCACTCTTGCTGCCATCCGTTCGTTCTTCCCTCTCCCCTCCCTCCCTGGCTGCCCCACTGGTGATGAAATCACTGCATTTTGTGTGGACTGCATCCTGTCCCTTGTAGTGCATGCTGAGAGCCAGCTCTCTGGGCCCGTGTGCCCTGTGGTTATGTCATGGGACCGAGCACTGAGGAGGCTCTAGTAACCGTGCCCAACCAAGGACTTTGGGGCTGGTCCTCTTCTCTTTGGGGTGGGCTGGACAGAGTGTTAAAGTGGTGCAGTGGTTGTATCTTGACCTCTGGTGGCAGAGTGCGTGCGTGTATGTGTGTGTGTGTGTGTGTGTGAGTGACCTGGCCTGAGTGCCAAGCGAATGCGGTGCTGACGTCCCCCTTTGTTCAGTTGCAGGCCCAGAGTGTACTGTCTGGCCGACAGCGATGAAGAATCTTCCAGCGCTGGTTCCTCGGATGAAGATGACGCCCCAGAGCCCAGTGGGGGAGACAAACAGCTCCCCCCAGGGGCTGAAGGGTGAGTGGGTCAGAGGGTCTGGGCCCCTGAGGCGGGCAGCGGGCAGCACATTGGAGAGGAGCCTTATTCCTTCCTTTCCCTGGGATTGGTCCTTCTCCACACTGAATGAATGTTTGTAGTAATATCCAGTGTCCACACTTACTTAAATGCTATTCTCCAGAGCAAAAAGACCTATACAACTTTACTTATCCAACCAAAATTATTTTCTCTTGCCATTTGAGTAAATAGTAGAGTCAGGGGTATTTGCTGTGAGCACATCCGGGTCTTCACAGGCGCACAGTTTGCCCAACATCGCCCCCTTGTGCTTAGCTAAGAGCACGGCTCCCGCTGGTAGTCAGGTGGCATTGACTTCTGTTGAGCGGCCAAGTCCTCCTAAGCTGAGGCATTCAGATGATTTCTTGCACGAATTTTGGAAACGTAGGTGTCTGTGCCAGTCTTTTGGGTCATGAACTGTATTTGTCTGGGGTCCTCCCTCTGCTTGTGCCTTAAATAGAATGACCAAAGTGCTTCAACAGCCTCAATGGAAAGATCTTGTAATTATTGTGAGTTGAAGAGATTCCAATGATAAAGAAGCTAAGTGAGCAGGAGCTTTTCTAAGAAACTATAAACCTATTCACTTTTGGAATCCAACAGAAGATGTGAAGAGAATGCAGGCGTTTGAGGAATCCATGCTAACATGTGTGTATTATTTAAATCTTGCCTGCTTGACTTTCTTAAGAATTATTCCTTTGCCTGCAGATACTCTATAGCTGTAGGAGATTCTAAAAAGCAAATACCTTCTCTTCTTCAGGCAGCTTGATGGTAGATATGACCGGATATGAAAATTTATGGATGGGTCAGCTAGAACATCAGCATGTTGTATGGTCTTTCTTTAGACGTTCTCTGCCCTTTGGAAGGTAGTTGAAATGACATCAACTAAAAGACAGTTAATGTCTATTTGGTGTGATTATTGATGCAGTATAAGTACAATCCGTGTTCATGTGAAATCTATACATAGACCAAGGAGCAGTTGTCCACACAGAACAAGGACATATTCCATGGTTTAAAGTCAGAAAAGATGTGCATCAGAGTTGTGTCCTTCTCCATACTATTCAGCCTTTGTGTGCTGAGCAAATCAATCCAGAAGCTGCACTATATGAAGAAGAATATGGCAGCAAGACTATAGGCAGACTCAGATGACACACTTTTGCTTGCAGAGAGTGAAGCAGACTTGCAGCGTTTGCTGCAGATTAAAGACTTCAATACAAGTTACATCTCAACATCAAGAAAGCAGAAGTCCTAACCACTGGGCCAATAAGCAGTATCATTATAGATGGAGAGAAGATTGAAGTTGTCAACAATTTCATTTTACCTGCATCAACAATCAACACCCATGGAAGCAGCAGTTAAGAAATCAAAATATGCGTTCCATTGGGAAAATCTGCTGTCAAGAGCCTCTCCAAAGTGCTAAAGAGCAATGATGTCAGTTTAAATACTAGGGTGCACCTGATCCAAGCCATAGTGTTTTCAAATTGCTGCCTGGGCATCTAAGAATTGTCTAAGAGTGGGACAACAAATAAGGAGGACCAGATAAGAATCATTGCTTTTGACTTGTGTATTGGAGAAGGGTCTTGACTATACCATGAACTGTCAAAAGAACAGACACTCTGTCTTGAAGGAAGTGTAACCAGAGTGCTTCTTAGAGGCGAGGGTAATGAAACACTGTCTCACTTATGTTGGGCATATTTTCAGGAGGAACCACTCGTTGGAGAGAGATGTCATGCAGGGAAAGGCTGTTGTTATATGCTGTCAAGTCGCCTGCGACTCATAATGACCTATGTACAACAATCCTAAACCCTACTCTATCCTGTGCCAATCTTACTCTCTATGATACATCTATCCCCATTACCCCAGTGACTGAATCAATCCATCTCATCGAGGGTCTTCCTCTTCTGTGCTGTCCCTCTTCAAGGACGGGTCCCACCTTGCAACATGCCTAAAGAAGGGTCAGCAAAAAAGAGGAACATCCTCAACAAGATGGGTTGATGCAGGGCCTACCACAGTGGGCCTTCACATGACAAATAGTGCAGAACAGGGCAAGGTGGGTGTAGATCTGTTGTTCATGGGTCGCTATGAGTTGTAGTTGACTCAAGGTCCCTAACAACAACCTGACATTGAGAAGCATGACTGCGGATTTGCTGTATAATGACAGTGAGCTGGTTCTCTAATAGGACAAGGGATAACATGCGGTATGTGAGTGGTGTTGAAGGCTTCTGTATGTGCAGACTGAAGGCTTTGCCTAACTCTCCATTGTCAAGATATGGCTCTGTCTTGACCATCCATCACACCTTCACCTCTGCAGTGGTTCTTAACTGGTACAATTTTGCACGCGCACACACACACACACACACACAGAAGGATATTTGGCAATATCTGAAGACATTTTTTTATTGTCATGGCTGAGGCTTGGTGCCGGCATGTAGTGGGTAGAGGCCAGGGCTGCTGTTAAAAGTCCTACACTGCACAGGACAGTCCCCACAATAAAGTCCATCGTCCATTGATGTCATTGGTGCTACCCTCGCATAAGGTGAATGGAAAGTCACAGCTTTTGAGAGGGAGTAGAATGTATACTAATGATGTTGTGTGTTTCTCATTTGAAGGTATGTTGGAGGTCATCGAACAAGCAAGATCATGAGATTTGTGGATAAAATTACCAAGTCAAAATATTTCCAAAAAGCAACAGAGACAGAGTTTATCAAAAAGAAGATTGAGGAGGTGTCCAACACTCCCCTGCTGCTGACCGTGGAAGTGCAGGAATGCAGAGGCACCTTGGCGGTGAACATTCCTCCGCCCCCCACAGACCGGATCTGGTGCGTAGAGGGACCCTCCGGAGTGGCATGTGGGTCCACCTGCCTAACCTGGAGATTGTGGAAAGTTCTTTCTCTTGGGCAGAAACACTTTCAAAAATACTATGGAACCATAATTTTAGTTATAAATCCTATTCCCTTCAATGAATGGCAACCTCATATTTAAAGATTCATCTCAACATGTTCAGATCATTACAAAGTTTGACAAATAGAGGACAAATTCTCTATTTGGGGTCACCGTCCTCTCTAAAGCCAGCTCTTCTACTGATAATAGCCACCACTGACAGGGCCTTTTTTTTTGCCTCACTGGTTGTAATGCATCACCTCGCCAGTGTCTTCAGCATTCCTTTAAGGCCAGTGGCCTCTTTGTCCCACCTTACAGGTATTGATCATGCGCCCAGGCTTAGGGAAGCCTTCCCTGAAGAAGGCTTGGGTGTTAAGGAGGCAGGAGCATGGCCACTCTAGAATGACAGTTGGGAATCTAACTAGGGAGCTGGCATCTGATCAACTGGTGATTCTCATTCCTACTTGCTTGTCAAAATTACTAGGCACTTGTTAAAATGAGCTAAGCCTGGTTCATCCTCCAGAAGTTAGGGGAGGAAGGATTTAACTACATTTGAGAATCAATAAAATGAAGTATTTATGGAACAAACAGGAGAAAATCACTAACTGTGAATTTCAATTTAAAATTTGCTTTCCGAGTCCTGTAAAACAGACATGAGTGCCTACAGTGCTTGTATAAGAGAGCACATTGTGCCAGAAACTGCACTCTTGGGAATACAGCCTCCTCCCTCGCTTGGCGAAACCAGCACTCTGGTGTCTTCGGTGTGCAAATGAGTTTGTGGGAATGTTCAAATGAAGGTTTTTTTAATCAATTATCCCGTTGATGATAGTCGTGGAGCACTTTATTAGATTTAATTCTTAAAAATATTTTCATTGTGTAAAAATACAGAAAGCAAGCAAAAAAGGTTAGTATCAAGAATAAAAAAGATAGTTACCCTGTAGGTGGAGGGAGGGGGTAAAGGAAAGATGGGGTAATGGTAGCATAGTTCAATAGTGATTAATTTTACACAGCACAATGACTGGGAAC